GGTTAGAATAAAGAGCTTGGCACCTTTTGCGGAATGCCATTAATCATCTTTTAAGGGCTCCATGGTCACTCCTGCTATACCAAACCACAAGCAGCTGGTGAGCAGCTTCAGTTACAAGGGATTGGAATAGAGCCAACCCGTGAGGCTTGCAGCTAAGCCTTTTACAGTGGAAATAAGCTGGACTGGTCTTCTGTGGGAAATGAATCTTACTAGGATGCCAGAGGCATATTGAGCAATGAGTTAAAAACAACAAATCATCCTGAGTGAAGCTCTTCTCAGATGCAAAGTGAAGACTAAATAGAAAAACAGAATCCTTGTTAGGAAAGAGCAGAGAACTGTGCTAGGCTGAAGGTACCAGCAGCAGGAGAAATACTCTTGATCTCAATGAAGATTTGATGAGTGGCAAAGGAAACACAGACTTATAAGCAGATATCTTAATTCTGGGATGGAAAAAGATCAGTTTCAGAGGTAAGGTCACAAACTGGACTCTGAAGGCACATCCAATCCATGAAGCAGGAGAGTTAAAATAGGGATCCTGGAACAGAGATTCTTGGTAACCCAGAAGTTTGCAAAAGTGGGTCTGGATTGTGGCTTTTGGAGTTTCTCTTGAGTCATGGAGTTACCATGCATTATATCCCTGCGTGACTATATTGTTAATTGCCAGCTCATGGCACAACACCTGGGAAATTGGAGGCTGTCAATATACATACGGTAGTTGAACAAATGCAAATTTAGCAGATTGGTTAAGTGTCCTGTGGAAGGAGTGACGGAGCCACGTAATTACTTTTGTCCCTTCCAGACTTATAATTCCAGAATTCTTAAAAATTATACCTCTGTTCTGAACCCAAGAACTAAATTCTTAGGAGGTTCTTAGCTCATCTCGAAAGATGTTAAAGAATGTCATAACCAGTTTGCGGAGAAAACAAGAATAAAGATGAGTAGAAATCAGTAATTTTTGCAGGCTTAGGTTTGGTGACTGCTAGACATTGATACCAGAACAATTAAATAAGCAATCTACAAATAGAAAGTGGGGAATGGGCATGTATTAATAAAACCTGAATGTGAATGGATCTGAGCTCACCTTACTTTTCCCCTTACTGTAGAAAGGAGGAGACCTAGTCCACAGAGTTTTAACTTTCACAAATCCTCACAGAAGACGTACAAACCTGAGGTTAGGGTGTAATTCATCCAGACCTCTTCGTGCTGTGTTTATAAACACAAAGGTGCTAAAACATGGTAAAATGTAAAATATGTGTTTAAAATTTTACTGTGCACACATGTAAATAGACTTTCCCTGATATTTTAAATGACTTTAATTACTGTCTTTCCACAGGAAGTTTGTCTCGCTCATGTAACTTACCAAACCTCCAAATATTTTTCCCAAGATAGAAGTGGCTATCTTTTCTGTCCTCCCACCAATCTCCTCAGCTGTCTTCTCCTCTCTCTCAGCCCACTTACAGAAATACAACAGAGCTTTTCTCAAAGGCAAATGGCCCAACAGTTTCTATGCAAAGATAGATGCCAATGAAAATGTTATCAAAAACATAAAATGAGAGGTAAAATAAAACCAAGGTTTTACAGGTCATCTGCCTAATTCTTTTTGAGTCATGATTTCTTTTAGACCCTATGTGGAGACCTGCTCTTTCCATCAATGTCTGTGTACACATGTGCCCATGTGAGGCCAAGATGGACAGGAAAGAGACAATTCTACTGGGAATTCTATTTGTAGAGGAAGAAACATAATCCCATAAATATTGATGCCACAGAAACAGCACAGAGTTCAACTGTGCCTAAGATTAGATTGTTGCCAAGAATGCTGGAAAGTGTAGGTGTAAGCAGTTTCAAGTAAGCCCGCTGTTGATAAGGAGACAGCTGTTGGCATAAATAAATGATATTTGGAGTCTGTCAGTATATAACTGAAAGAATAGGGAGACGACAGCCAGCCCTTTCCAGAGGCATAATAGCAAATTCTAATGATTGTTCCCTGTAAACTGAAGGACAGGGAATGAATTCACTGAATGAATTCAAGGAAGTGCAGAGGGAGGGTCTCACCATAGCTGAGCCTTCCCACGGAAGCTGGTGCCCACACAGCTGAGGGTCAGGCATCGCTGGCCCCAGCAGCCACAGTGCAAGGTGTGATGGAAACATTTCATGCTCTGACGACAACAACGGCTCCTCATCTGTGGCAAGGACACAAGGATTCTGAGGATTTCTAAATAATCAGGACCATTCTGGCTTAGAAGGGAAGCAATGAAAATACCATGGGATTTATGTTTACTAAAGGCGAAATTCAGTGGGATTTATGATGACCCCCCCCCCCCCACACACACACACAAAGCAATCCCTGATATCCTTGCTGCTGTGGAACCTCCTTTGAGTCAGGTAATTCAATTACTGTAAAATGTACTTTTATTGCTTTGAAGCTCCATTTCCAAAGCAGTGGCCATCAGTTAACCCAACTGCACTTTTTCTTTTCTGATAAGTTAATTTGTCTCAGAATTAAAGTCAAATTCTGACACAATCCAGCAAGTAACTATAAAAAATGACAGTAAGATTGAAATACTAGGCACCACTCTGGGTACTTTACTTGCAAATTACTCATTCAATTCTCCTAAGAGCCAGCAAATTAAATACTATTTTCCCTATATTCTTGATGAGTAAACCAAAGTATAGAAAACCTAAGACAATTCCAAAGGGCATCCAGTTGATTAATGTCAAAGCTGGGAACAGAACCCTGCCTAGTGCAGTTACAGAGCCCATTTTGACCCATGTGCCTTGAGATTTCATATTTTCCTACCTTTGGCTAGTTGTCAAATACAGAATGTCCAGTTACATTTGAATTTCAGATAAGAGAAAAATAATTTTAGACAACAAGTAATGTTGCAAATATTGCACAGGGCATACTTAACTAGAAAAAAGTCCATTGTTTGTTTGAAATTCAGAAGTTTGGCGGTATCTTGTGTTTTTACTTCCTAAATCTTCCAGCGGTATCCCAGAGGTAGCTATATGCACCAAGGAAGCAAAGAACAAAATTTTTATTTGTTTGAGCTTTGGTTTCAAATCCCAGAGTAGAACTCCTATCACAGGATTAGGCTAGGTGGAGAAATTTTTTTTTAATTTTTTTAAGGAGGAGGGGGCGGAATGGAAGCCACGGGTCCCACAACCTCTCCCTCAGCCTCTTCTCCCTGGAGAAAATTTCTTCATATTCTTAAAACAGTCTAGAATAACAGCTCTCAAACCTGCCTGGATGTGAGCATTGCTTGTTTACTTTAATAATACATATAGGCTGGCCTGGCATGGTGGCTCATGCCTGTAATCCCACTTTGGAAGCTGATGTGGGAGAACTGCTTAAGCCCAGGAGTTTAAGACCAGCTTGGGCAATATAGTGAGATCTTGTCTCTACAAAAAATTTAAAAGAATTAGCCAGGCATGGTTGTGTGTACCTATAGTCTCAGCTACTGGGGAGGCTTGTGTCCAGGAGGTCAAGGCTACAGTGAGCCATGATTACACCACTGCATTTCCAGCCTGGGTGACAGTGCAAGAACCTGTCTCAATAATAATAATTATTATTATTATAATAAAATATGTAGCTCGGCCTGACCTGTCCAAGATTTAGTTAGGTTTAGGGTGAGATGAGGACACCCACATTTTCTAATAAGCTCCTAAATGTTTTCTCCTTTCCTTCTCTTCCTTCCTTTCCTCATTGGTCTGAAACTCTGACTGTAAGTTAGAGTTTACCATTTGTAGCAAGTCCAAGGATGCCAGAATATACCTCTAGGGTGGGAGAGGAGGGAATAAAGAGATGGGGTCTATGAGAGAGGGCTTTCCCACAATGCTCAGAGCTATCCTTAGGCCTTCTCAAGCTGGCTTTACAGCCTCAGGCCTGGACGTACAAGAAAGATTTTTCAGAGTGACAGAGTGGGTAAAAGAGAGAAACAGAGAGGGAGTGAGCAAGAGAGCTGTATGTGGGCCAGGTCTCCCATTTTGGGCCAGGCTCTGGTACAAAGAGTGAGAATGGATCACACCATAGGCACCAAGACTGTCTTACATTTGAAAGCTCCAGCAGTATGAACTGTGGCCTAAATAGTTCCTGGGAATTCAAATTTTAAAAGTCTTCCCTAGAAGTGAAGAAGAAGTGGCTGGGCACAGTGGCTCATCCCTATAATCCCAGCACTTTGAGAGGCCGAGGTAGGTGGACCATTTGAGGTAAAAAGTTCAAGACCAGCCTGACCAATATGACTAAATCCTATCTCAACTAAAAATACAAAAATTAGCCAAGTGTTGTGATAGGCACCTGTAATCCCAGCTACTCGGCAGGCTGAGGCAGGAGAATCGCTTGAATCTGTAAGGTGGAGTTTGCAGTGAGCCAAGATTGTGCCACTGCACTCCAGCCTGGGCAACAGAGTGAGACTCCATCTCAAAAAAAAAAAAAAATGAGTGTACTTCATGAGGGTATTGCAAAATCAGTTTATTAGGATATAACAGTTTACTAATAAAAGTAAGATAAATAAAATAAAACAAGTAGAAAATATCCAAGGTACACACACACACAGACACATATATGACACACATATATTATTCATGTTATAACATATCTTTCTTTCTATGGGATCCTGTCAAGAAAGTTTGGAAAATATTGCTCTAGAGACAAATATTCATCACTTTTAGAAAGCAGAAAGCTCAGGCAGGAAGGAATAGAACTCAGAGCAGATAAGCTGTGGGAAACAAGACCCTAAAGAATAATCTGGAGCCCGGGCTGCTGCCAAAGAAGTTTAAAGCAGTAGATTTACAAGGAGTCTTTGGCAAATAGGAAGGTGGGGCATAAGAGGACCATTCGTCCAAGAGGAGAAGGTAAATTTCAAAGCTGTAACGTGTCACATTGCCTGTTTTTCAGGCTGCCCTAGAAAGCCCTAGAAAGCCCTAGAAAATGTCTCTGCTGAAACATAGGCCACCTCTATGGTAGTTCTTCCCTGTCTCTAATGACTTTCCTCTGCTTTTAGATCAGAGGACGGTGTGGGGCAGCAGTGGAGAGATGGCAGCATTTGTATGAAGTTTGAGCACACCCGGGAAGCAAGGTAAGGGCTGGATGGAGAGCCCAACTCTGTGTACTCTGGATTGCTAAGCAAGGACACTTATTCCAATGGAGGACTTTTGAGTTCGAGTATCACACTTTTTCATCTTTTCCTGTGAGATATAAAAGAAATATTGAGAGGTCAGAAGGAAGCATTCTTTTAAGTTCTATCAATGCTGTGCAGTAAAACTTAGCAATGATGTCAGTGTTCTGTGTTGAGCTACCCAATATGGTAGCCACTAGCCACATGTGGCTCCTGAGCACTGGAAATCTGATCAATGAGACTGAGCAGCTAATTTTTAAATTTAATTTAATTCTAACTAAAATTAAAATTTAGATAGCCACACATGGCTAGTGGCTACTGTATTAGACAGAACAATTCTAACATTTTGTGATTTTTGATGCAAAATAACCTGGGTATAAGTGATTAGTCTTGTGACCAGATCTATGTACTGAGTTTTGTCTAAGTTATTTGAGATAACCATAAACTTGAGGACATTTTGCTAATTATATCTACTATAAAAAAAGGAAATTTGCTGGATTGATTTATTATTATTTTTATGCCTAAACATTCAAATTATATCCTGGTGTTAATGGTTTCAAGAGTCTTTGATTATTGTAATGTTTTTCTTTCCTGAAATGAAAAGGGAACCTCAGTGAAATAAAAAAGACTGGTATTAAATGCAACATCTAGTTGCAATGTTAAGCAAGCAAAGATTTTTAAAAAACCTGTGTTTAGTCAGATATTATCACCCGGAAGAGAGCTCTAGAGCAATTTTCTAATAAGTTTGTAAAGATGGAAATTTACCACATTTGCAATGGGAGCAGAAGTCATGGCGTCACAGGTTCCATGAAGTGGAGACATCATCAAACACCCAGGAGGGTTCGGATCAGCTCAGCGAGGCTCTACCACTGTGTGCATTTTTACATTTTGGCTCTTGTTTTTGTGCCTCTACCTTACCTGGTACCCTGCTCGTTTAGTCACAGACTATGCACCCAACTGCTGCTGTTCAGTCCGGGGAAAATGAAAGGTGGCGTGCTATGGTTCATTTCTTTCTTCACCTTCACTGATGGCCACGGTGGCTTCCTGGGGGTGAGTTGGTGCTATGTCTCATATCTCTTCTCAGCTTTCTGTCTCCTTCTGGCACTTTAGAACCCCTCACTGTCTAGGGGACTGCAATTGCATAATTTAATGGACTTGAGATCAGAAGTCCTGAGCTCCTGTTTCAATGTTGCCAACATTCACGGTGTGGTCTTGGATAAGTAAGTCATTTCATCTCTTTGGAGCTTAGATGATCAAACTGCAAAAGGGGGATGTTTGATTCAACTATCTTAGAGACCTTTTCTAGTTCAACAGATTCTCTACCATGGCTTCTTGGATGTAGAGAAACCACATGGATGGACATTAGCAATCCTTAGACACTCTCTTCCCCGTCTACACTTGCTTTCTTGATGCTTTCATCTAGGACCATGGTTTTAATATTCTCTACATGCTGATGACTCCCAGCTGTATAGCTCCATCTCAGAGCTCTCCCCTGTACTCCACACTCACATATCCATTACCTATATGTACTTTCCAGTCAGGCACCCAACAGGCCTCTGAACTTCATTTATCCAAAATCAAACCACTCCTTCTTGCCTATTTCAGTAAGTGATATCACCATCTTTCCAGCTACTTAGGCAAAACAAAAAACCTTAAGAATCATGCTTGACTCTTCTCACATACCATATCTAAACCATGGCATTACTTTTTAAGCCTTAACTTTAAAACATATCCAGAATTCAAAATGTCTCACTACTTCTGTGGCTGCTATCTTGATTTACACCTTCATCGTCTCTTGCCTGCATTATTTCTGAAATGCACTCATTGCTTCTGTGCTTGTCTGTTCTCAGCAGGGCTTCTGGACTGAGCCTTCTACAAAGTAAATTACAGCATGTCTTTCCCCATTCAAAGTTTTTCAGCAGTTTCTCATCTCACTCAAGGAAGAGGTAAAACTCTTTCCATGGCTTGTAAAGGTCTGCACAACCTGCCTCCCCAGAGACCCTCTGCCCTCACCTCCTGTGACTCTCCTCTTACTCTCCTCTCTGAGGGGCTCTGGTGTCCTCATTCTGCCTTCACCTGCCAGGCATATTCTTACCCTTCAGATATTTGCTCAAAAGTTACTACGGTGAGGCCTGGCTGCCTTTCCACCATCCCTGGCTTGGATTTTAGATTCATGATTTTAATTCTTTTGGGAAACTCAGCAAGGTCTTATGAAGCACAACTCTTCAAAGCCTCACCATAATTATTTTTTTTTCTTTTAAACAGAGAAATGATGGCATGAAATCAAAAAGAGAACTCCTTGTGAATAAGAAAAACCATCTAGGTGAGGCTATGTTAGACAGCATGGTGCAGTGGATTTTGGTGTCAAGGGACCAGGGTTCTAATCCCAGCAGTGCCTCTGACTGGTTATATGATCTTAGACACATTTTTAAACATCCAAATATGTACAAGGAGAATGACAGTAATTCCTACGAGCAAAACATTTGTGAAGATTAAATGATATCATCAGAGCATAGTGTCTTACAACAAACCTGGCAAGTAGCTGTTCACACACGTCCTTTTCTTCTGTGCCTTGATTCTAACAATGTAATTAATGGCCATAGCCCCAGTCTAATAATGAGTTGCATTCTGAAATTTAATTTGTGGATCCGATGTTTCTAGTGCTGAACACATTTCCTCATAGGAGCAGTGACATACATATGGTTGTTAGGTTCCTGAGTCAGTCTACAGTAGTTTTTCTACCGTGCAATAAATCCGCCATACAGCAATGTGCTAATAGTAACTTAGCACCTATCACCGTGCAGGGTGACACTTCTTTAGGAAAATGAAATCAAAATTTCAACTTGGAATGACATGAATTAAATTTCCCTGAAAGTAAAAATAACAATAAAAATATAGCAAGTATTCTTGGGCTGTTACTATGTGCCAGGACTATTTGAAGTGCATTAGATGAATTAAAACCTCGCACTGACCCTCTGAGTTAGGTACCGTGGTCATCTTTATTTTACAGATAGTAAAACTAAGGCACAGAGCTAGGGGCAGGAGCCAGGATCCAAATCCAGTCAGTCTGGCTCCAGAACCAGTGCCATTAACCCCTGACGGTGTGAGCAGGGCCACCCTTTTTCCTGTTTCTCATTGCTCATCTGCTTGGACAGTACGACTGGGCTTCACCACAGCTCCCACCACTCAGAGGGGACTTCCAATGCCTGGGGAAGGGGATCCAGTCCAAAAGGAGATGGGGAGAGTAAGAGATGGGAATGGGGTGCAATGGTGTGAGATGTTGGGTCTTTCATAGATGAGCTTCGGGTGACTTTGAAGCCCATGGTAATTTTATGCCAAGTTTTATGTGAATGGGCTTAAATGAATATTGTGTGGGAGAAGACTATAGGATTCCCCTCTTTTCTATATGAAATCCAGTTAATGGCTTCTCTATGGTGAAAGAAAAGGTGCTGTCCAGACATGGTGAGCTGGAGGTGATGGTGCATAAAGCCTCAAGGGAAAGTTTAGTTCAGTTTTGCTTTTGGATTTCATATAAATACCCAATCTCAGCTAATGAATAGAATATTTTCACAGGAGGAGAAAGGGCTCTTTGTAAATGTGAGATTGGGGGTCTTATATTGAAGGTACTTCAGGAAGATCAGAGCTGGGGGCAGAAGAGGGAAGGTTGACTTGGACTTCCTCACCTCTTCCCCCTTCAGCCTTGACACTTGAAGCTTGACTCTGGCTGTGCCCTGAGGAAGTGTGTAATATTGACAGAGTGATTCTGGGGAGGGAGAGACAGCACTGGAGCAGCCGGCTTGGCAGAAGTGAGAGGACAGGCGTCTATTGGCATGTGTGGGAACCGTCTGCTTGTGTTCGTTCTGGGTGTTCTTTTTTAGTCCATGTTTGGATGAGAGGAGCTCAATAACAAGCAGCATGGTAGAGTCCCTGACCTCCAGACTGAATTTGATGATTGTTTCTCAGTCAATTCCCAAGCAATATTTTCCCCGCTGAGAAAAAAGTTTCTGACTTGCTTTCTTTCTTTAGGCCCAGTCCAAGAATATGAGCTGCTGCTTCAGTTGACCTATGGAGATTCCGAGGAGAAGAGAGATTTGAGGAATTTTCTGAAGCTCTTGAAACCTCCATTATTATGGTCACATGGGCAAGTGAAGATTATCAGAGCAAAAGCTACCACACGTAAGGTGTCTCTGGTAACTGGATATGTAAATGGGGAAGGCGAGTGTATCAGTCAGGCTAGGTTGGGTTATGCTGTGGAAACAATCATCCCTACAATCTCTGTGACTTAAAAGAATAAACGCTTTATTTCTTTTTCATGTAACGTCCATTGCAGGTTGTCAGAGGGCTGTATCCAGAGTGATGTATCAGATCCTATCATCTCATATGTACCCATCCTGAGTCAAAAATAAGTGCAAGACTGGAGAATTTTGCATAGGCAATTAAATTCTTTAACTCAGAAGTGACCACAGTAATTCTGCCCACAACTTATAGGCTAGAACTGGTTTCACGGCCCGTTCAACTTCAGGGGGCCAGAATATGCAATCCTGTGTACCTGGAAGAGAGCAAGAAATACTTGGCAAACAGCACTAATAAGCACAAAGGTGGGGTTCAGAGAAGTTGAATTATTGGTCTAAAACAATGATTCTTAAAGTGTGGTGGCCAGGCCAGCAGCAGCAGCAGCAGCAGCATTAGAGAATTCAGCAGAAATGCAAATTCTTCACCCATCTTGACTTAGGAGATCAAAAACTCCAGGGCGAGACCTTCCAGGTGATTCTGCTGCACAACAAATCTTGAGAACAATACACTACACACCATGCACATTTTCGCAAAGGAGTCTGGTGACTTTACCCTGTTTTTTAATCTACTGGAAAAAAAATGACTTTGGTGGGAATTTCACATGCGATAGAAGGGGGAGGCATACAGGATTGCTGGCTGATGAAACTTTTCATCATGACTCTCCCCAAAAATGTTTCTCTGCCTTTGTCATCTTGCTTAGAAGGCCCACCTGGGAGTGGTGGTAGATGTGTAGAAAGGAACCTCCAATAAGATGGTTGTTAAATACTCTCTAGAATCCTTTAAATAACTTTCCTTTTACAGATGTCCTCTTCTGCTTCTCTCTTCCATTGCAGTGGATATGTATGGGGCATACATCCTTCTTTTTCATGCTAATATCAGCCATTTTAGCTTTATGTTTGTTAGCGTTCTGAGACCAACATTGGAATTTATCGAGTTGGACATTTCCTTACCTTAAATATATTGCTTCTGGCTCTTAATGAGGAATATTACCATCATTTTACTTTTAAGGGCAAAAAACACAATTACTCTTGTAGCAACCAAATACTTGATCCAGATTCCATGTCAGAGCCAAGAATCAGAAATCACTACTCAGGGTCAGGTGTGGTGGCTCACACCTATAATCCCAGCATTTTGGGAGGCCTAGGTGGGTGGATCACTTGAGCTCAGGAGTTCAAGACCAGCCTGGCCAACATGGCAAAACACTGTCTTTGCTAAAAATACAAAAATTATCCAAGGTGGTGGTGCGCACCTGCAATCCCAGCTGTGCTTCAGATGGCTGAGGCACAAGAATTACTTGAACCCTGGAAACAGAGGTTGCAGCAAGCTGAGATTGTGCCACTGTGCTCTAGCCTGGGCAACAAAATGAAATGAAACAAACCAAGATAAAACCTACAGAAGATGTGGGAAGTTAATCTGAAAAATAAACATATATAAAATGAAATCACTACTCAGAAGCAGTCATTTTATAAACCAGAATTCATGATACTGAGTTCTATTTTTTGTGCAGACTGCAGCAGCCTACATGGGGTCCTTCAGTGTACCTGTGAAGACAGCTACACCTGGTTTCCTCCCTCATGCCTCGATCCCCAGAACTGCTACCTCCACACGGCTGGAACATTCCCGAGCTGTGAATGTCATAACAACCTTAGCCAGAGTGTCAATTTCTGCGAGAGAACAAGTAAGCAACTAAGAATGCCCTGGGCTGGGGCTTCTCCCATCCCAACATGGAACAGAGAAGGGACTCTAGCTCATTGCCTTGCTAGTCAATTTTTGTTTACAGGGAGATTGAAGGACAGCGATGATGTATGATGTTAGGCCTGGCTGGACACAGTGAGAGCTTTCATAGTACAGAAGATCCAGAAACACATGTGATATGGGAAGGTCACTTCAACCTTTAGATCCATCCAGCTCAGCTCTGCAATCATATGATTCTATTGAGATTGAGGGAGAGTTGCTAAAAACCCAAAAAGAGGCAATGCTTGAGTAAGCAACATTTGCCTTCCTACCCTCTTCACCTCTTTTGACAACATCACTTTCAAGAAAAGGGAAGTCTAGAGATGTGAATGCAGGGAGGAGCACATAGTGAGTGATTCCACTGAAAGAAATGCTTTCACTGTCAACAAATATGTGTACTGAATGCCTTGTTAAAACAAAAGCTAAAAGTCTAGCTTAGGAAACCAGTGGAAGCCGAGGAAGCTATGGTTAATTTAGGTTTATGTTCAATGAATGATGAGAAGAGCCAAATGACACGGACTCCAGGGCATGAAGGACTTTAAGAAGCTCCTGCAATGATTACTCTAGTTAACTAGATGCCCCAGATACTGGTGTAACTGAGCAAAGAGTGTTGGAGGAGCTTGAAATAGCCCAGCATAATTGGGGATGCTGGCTCCTCTTCCTGGGACCTCAGCAATTCAGGTTATGGAACACGTACTTATCAAGCACTATCTTAGATCTAGGAGGACACAAAGGCACTTATCTTGCTGCCTATGAATTAGGAGACTACCGGGCTGTAATACAAGAAAGAAAATAATGTAATTTCTTCGACAAATGTTGATGAAAGCCTACCTTTTGAAAGATGGGCACAGTGGCTTACAACTCACCTGTAATCCTAGCACTTTGGAAGGCTGCAGCAGGCTGATTGCTTGAGCTCAGGAGGAGTTCTAGACCAGTTGGGCAAGATGGCAAAAATGCATCTTTACAAAACATACAGAAATTAGCTGGGTGTGGTGGTATACCTATAGTACCAGCTACTTGGGGGGTTGAGGCAAGAAGATTGCTTGAACCCAAGAGGTTGAGGCTGCAGTAAGCCAAGATCGTGCCACTGCATTTCAGCCTGGGTGACAAAAGTGATATCTTTGAAATATTCAAAGCTGGATCAGACCAGGATGACACTTTCGAGAGGCTTCCCACAGTACTCTGGAGACATGCATAGATGAGATGTACACAAATTGATGTTTAGGTATATGTAAGAGGCTGGGAGGGAGATAGGGCTAAAGCACCATAGGAATTTAGAGAAGAGAAAGACTCTGCATGTGAGGGTCAGAGAAGACCTTGTGAAAGAGATGACATTTGATTAGGTCCTGAATGAAGGATGAACAGGATTTGTCCATACAGAGAACTGTTGCAGTGCAGAGAAGCACCGGCAGTGGGTAAGTAAGGCATGTGGAGTTAGCAAGCAGTGTTGCTGTTTTTGTCATCATTTAATTTTTAATAGGTACAATGCTTAAGCTTATTGCCTAGATGAAGATACATTTCAGTGTTCGGTGAATGTTTTCGTTGGTGACACATGAGAGGCCATACATTTACCTACTTTTAAGGTTGTCTTAATTACCAGCACTTCCCTATTACTGTTCCAAATCTGCAATTGAAAACTCTGGTTTTATGTATGCTTCCTTTATGTTTTATGTATGTATGTTAGGTGAACATTTCTTATGAAAAAAATTGAAACATTACTGTTGATTAGATGACTGAATTGTACTTCTAAAATTGTATGCTACTAATAAAATCAAGTTAGAAATTGATTGTATCTATACACTTCTTTTTATTTCCTACAGAGATTTGGGGCACTTTCAAAATTAATGAAAGGTTTACAAATGACCTTTTGAATTCATCTTCTGCTGTATACTCCAAATATGCAACTGGAATTGAAATTCAAGTAAGCACTTTCTACTTATTATATAAAGAATTGTTTGCTACACTCAAGTTCAAATGTTTTCAATTCTGCATTTATATTAGTACGTATTCTTAATTGTTCATTTTCAGTGAGCAACTACAGAGCAGTTATTTGCTCTGCCCACAATTGAAATTCCCTGAGTATCTTCTTTCCAAGAAAGTTTAGCAGCTGACTTCTTTGCGCTTCTCTTGTGTTCAGTTTTGCTCACTTATTTAAGTAATATACTAAGTCTTCTTGATTATTTTCAGGTTTTATTTTTATTTATTTTTTTGTTTTTGAGACAAAGTCTCAGTCTGTCTCCCAGGTTGGAGTGCAAGTGGCATGATCTCGGCTCACTGCACCCACTGCCTCCTCTGCCTCCTGAATTCCAGTGATTCTCCTGCCTCAGCCTCCCAAGTAGCTGGGATTATAGGCAAGCACTACAAAGCCTGGCTAATTTTTGTATTTTGGTAGAGATGGGTTTTCACCATCTTGGCTAGGCTGGTGTCCAACCTAACCTCAGGTGATCCACCTACCTCAGCCTCCCAAAGTGCTGGGATTACAGGCATGAGCCACTGCACCCAGCCCTGTTTTTATTTTTCATAAAAATTTTTATGGACCGAGCATGGTGGCTCACATCTGTAATCCCAGTACTTTTGGGGCCAAGGCAGGAGGATCACTTGAAGTCAGGAGTTCGAGACCAGCCTGGCTATCATGATGAAACCCCATCTCTACCAAAAAAATACAAAAAGTAGCAGGGCATGGTGGCATACACCTGTAATCCCGGATACTGGGTTGATGAAGCACAAGAATTGCTTGAACCTAGTGGGTGGAGTTTGTAGTTAGCTGAGATCATATGCCATTGCACTTCAGCCTGGGGGACAGAGTAAGATTCCACCTCAGAAAATAAAAATAAATAAAATAAATAAATATTCATGGTTTAAGCTCAGTTGTCAGCACATCGGATTTGTTGTATCAAGAAAACTCTGTTGTTAGTGGCTGAGGAGACTTACTGTGCAAAACTCTCGACTTTATAATAATAAAGTCACATGAAAACTAGATCAGTGTCCCTTCACCTAGGATTATGGCTCAGGTGTAGTTCTAACTGAAGACCCAAGCAAATACTTTACAGGTGGATTCAGTCTAAGTACATGTAAAAATTAATGGCTTGTTTTTGATAAGGAAAAAATGTATTTTGGGTAAATTTATTCTATGATCTGGCACCAAATTCATCCCCTATTTTAAGCAGTTGGTTATTCACAATTTGTTAGCAATTGCAAAGATATATTTTATACACGCATGACACGGATATGTGTGTGTGTGTGTATACATTCACAACTGTTATTTTAACTGTATTTGTATGGTATGCAGTTACTTTCCACTGGATCTCTTTTCTTTGCCCGTTTGCTACTGTTGGTTTAGTTATTGTCTGTATTCATTTTTTGCTCAAATGTCTTTCTGAAATCTGGGAATAACGATTAACACATTGCCCTTTGTTCTCTTTCTAAGCTTAAAAAAGCATACAAAAGAATTCAAGGTTTTGAGTCCGTTCAGGTCACCCAATTTCGGTAAGTAACACAATGGCCTTAGAAGGGCATCCCCAGAATTGGGTGCCAATTCTGCAGAAGGCAGAGCACTGTTTTTAGATGACCCTGACAGAAAACAGGGCAGAATTCGCCTTTATAGTAGGATTTTTACTAAGTGAACAAGGAGCTGTGATGCTTTAAAAAATCTGAAGAGGAAAACCTAGATTCTCACTTAAATGAGTTTAGGACTTTAATTTTTTTTTTTTTTTTTTTTTTTTTTTTTTTGAGATGGAGTTTTGCTCTTGTTGCCCAGGCTGGAGTGCAACGGCACAATCTAGGCTTGCTGCAATCTCTGCCTACTAGTTTCAAGAGATTCTCCTGCCTCAGCCTCCTGAGTGGCCAGGATTACAGGTGCCCACCACCACACCCAGCTATTTTTTTTTGTATTTTTAGTAGAGATGGAGTTTTACAATGCTGGCGAAGGCCTGTCTCAAGCTCCTGACCTCAGGTGATCCACCTGCCTCAGTCCGCAAAGTGCCGAGATTACAGGCGTGAGCCACCACGCCTGGCATAGAACCTTAAATATTAAAAAGCCTTCTCAAAACTGTGGGTCAGTGAGTGGAATTACAAAACAATAGTAGTAGGGCAGAAACTTGGAAGGAAGCAGGAGATCATGGTGTTTGTGCATTGGAAAAAGTGAGGGGTGGGGATAAGGGTTGTGGGTTGTGGAAGGGTGGATTTTCTCCTTCAACAACCACGAGAGACATGATGCCTCATAATTCGGAGCCAGAAGTGGGGCCTTGGGTGAAATACCTCTGCATAGATTTCATGTATATATCACAGTTCAAAACCCCATAGTCATTGTCTATAGCAAATAAAGAAATATTTAGTAAATTATCCTTTTGTTTATGCTTTAACTCCAAAACTCGTTTGGTTAGTTAGCCATGCGAACATTCATTACTGACTATTAATGTCTGTTTGTTAGAGGAAGGGGCTTAGAGGTCAGAGAACTTGACTTGTTATATTTCATTTCACAGTTAACTTCAAAACATCCATAGGAAATTTTCAACAGTGTATGCTATAAACGTATTGTCCTAGGCATTGTCCTCTAAGTCTACATGAATAGTTTTTAAAATTCAATACTAGCAAAAACACTACTTCTTCTTCTTCTTTTTTTTTTTTGGAGACAGAGTCTTACTCTGTCACTAAGTTGGAGCACAGTGATGCCATCTCGACTCACTGCAGCCTGCGCCTCCCGGGTTCAAGCAATTCTCCTGCCTCAGCCTCCCAAGTAGCTGGGACTACAGGCATATACCACTGTGCCCAGCTAATTTTTGTGTTTTTAATAGAGACAGGGTTCCACCAGGTTGGCCAGGATGGTTTCCATCTCTTCATCTCATGATCTGCCCATCTAGGCTTCCCAAAGTGCTGGGATTACAGGCATGAGCCACCATGTCTGGCCTGCTTCCTTTTTTATATTGAGGTTTATGTAGTTAATCATACATTCAATATTCATATTTTTATTTTCTGTGATCCTGGTTTTCTATTTATACTTGTAGTTTATATTCTATCGTGTATTTTATAAGCTGTCTCCAATAATTTGTAGACAAAATCACCGTAAAAGTAGGCACAAGTCTATAAACTACAACTTCTAAGGTTTTACTTTTGATTGGTTTTGTTATGTTTTGATATGGGGTCTCACTTTGTTGCCTATGCTGGAATGCAGTGGTGCGATCTCAGCTCACTGCAGCCTTGACGACCTGGGCTCAAGCAATCCCAACTATGCCTTCCTGGTATTGGTAGGTAGCTAGGACCACAGGCACATGCCATTATGCTTGGCTAATTAATTGAGATCTTGTTATGTAACTCAGGCTTGTCTTAAACTCCTGGGCTTAAGCAGTCTTCCCAACTTGGCCTCCTATAATGCTGGGATTACAGGCATGAGCCACCATGCCCAGCCTGAAGTTTTGCTTTTTGCATACACGATTCAAAATAAATATCTTTTAAAAATTGATTTAAAAAAATAAAGAAGGATTTCACCATGTTGGCCAGGCTGGCCTTGAACTCCTGGCCTCAAGTGATCCTCTCACCTTGGCCTCCCTAAGTGCTGGAATTACAGGCATGCACCACAGCACCTAGACTAAAATAAATCTTAAGCTCTCACTGTATTTACTTATCTGTCAAACAGGACAGTTATTCACCTGTGGAACCTGATTTAATTTCATTAAATCAAATGAAATAATAGGTAGGAAAATTGTTTGTAAACAATAGAAGGGGCATATCAATGCAAAGGTATTGTGACCATCATGACACAAAGGGTATTTGCACTTATTTACACATTGTGAGCAGAAGTTAAATGTGTAAGAATTTGAGCTGCAGAACTTCTGATCAATCAGTAATTAATAATTTTCTGATTCAACTTCTCATCAGGCCTCAGTTCTTTTATCTATAAAATGGGACTGATACACTGCTTATCTCATGGGTTATTGCAGGATGGACTTAACATATGTGATCTCATGTGCTTTCATGGCTTCAAATACATCTGTATGCTGATGGATTCTAAGTTTATTACTCGAGCTTGGGCACTCCCCTGAACCCCAGACCCAAATATCCAACTGCCTACTTGACAACTCCACTTGGTTTTCCAGCTGGCATGTCAAATGTCACATGTCCAAACTGGGAGTCCTCCGACTCTCCCCTTCCTAACTTTTTTTTCCCACTGTCTTCCCTATTTCCATTACAGCAGTGCTGTTAGAAAGCCATCCTGTGCTTCAATTTCTTTTATTGAGGTATAACTTGCACACAGTTATGTGCACAAACTTTGTGCTCAAAACTCAATCAGCTTTGAAAAATGCTTGTACAAGTCCTTTCCTATCAAGATGAAACATTCCCATCACCCCAAAAGTTCCCTTGGGTTGCTTTCCAGCCTCTTTCCATGCCATCCCCTCATACCAGAAGCAATCACTGGTCTGATTTCTATCACCACAGGTTAGTTTAGTCTATTCCAGAACTTCACATAAATGGAATAATCCAGCATGTAGTTTTTTCAAGTTTGGCTTTTTTCACTTAGTATAGTATTATTGAGATTCATCCTGATTTTTCTATCAGTGGTTCTTTCCTTCTTGTAGTCTACTAGTACTCCATTGGAAGAATATACAAAAACTTGTTTTTCCATTCCTTGGAGTTATTACTAGTGGGTTTCTTTCTCTCACACCCCAATTTCTTCTCCATTAGTAATCCCTATGGCTCGGCCTTCAAATAAAACCTAAATCTGACCACATGCACAGCCACCAAACTAGTTCAAGCCACCACCAGTTCTTTCCTATCTGGGTTCCCTGTTTCTTGCTGTCCTCCTTTCCATCTGTTTTCTACACAGCATCCCTTGATGGTCTTAAAAAGATAAATCTTTTGATACTACTGCCTTTCAATAAAGAAGAAAACTTTTAAATACAGAATGAAATCCCAACTCTAATGTCCTGTGAGATCTGGCTCCTGGTACCACCCCAACATCATCTCCTACTATTGTTCCCTTACTGTTGAATTTCAATCATTGTAGTATTTAAGTTTGTGAGAGTCACAGGCATTTTCCTGCCTCAGGATCTTTACATGTGCTCTGTATAAATATATACATATGTATATAAATGTACATATAAATATATCTGTATATATACAAATATTTATATTTGATATATAAATATATTTACATATACAGGTAGCCACCAAAAAAATATATTTATATATAATATACATAATAATATATAATATATAACATATTAATATATCTTATAGTATATATAAATATTATATATTATATAATAGATATATAATGCCTTATATAACATATATATCTTTACATAGTATACATATATATAGGTTAATTATACTAATTAGCCAATAAGAAACAAGGAACCACCAAAAATATATACATTTATAATATACATATATCTGTACATATTATAAAAAGCCCAGGAGTTTAAGACAAGCCTGAGCAACATAACAAGGACCTTGACTAATTAGCCAATAAGAAACAAGGAACCACCAAAAATACGTACATTTTAAGACAAGCCTGAGCAACATAGCAAGACCTCAACTAATTAGCCAATAAGAAACAAGGAACCACCAAAAATACATACATTTATAATCTATATTGAGGTCTTGTTATGTCTCAGTCTTGTCTTAAACTCCTGAGCTTAAGCAATCTTCCCACTTTGGCCTCCTATAATGCTGGGATTACAGGCATGAGCCACCATGCCCAGCCTAAAGTTTATATATATATATTATATGTATTATTTATACATATTATAAATATATATATTTTTGGTAGTTGTTTTTTATTTGCCTTGCCTTATCCACTAGAATGTAAACTCTGGTTTATTCCTATGGACCCAATGCCATGTACACATGCATAGGCCCTGAGTGAATGAATGAATAAGTAGTGAACCTCATTTCTCTTTCCCCATAATCACTGCAGAAATGGAAGCATTGTTGCTGGATATGAAGTTGTTGGTTCCAGACATGCATCTGAACTGCTGTCAGCCATTGAAGAGGTTGCAGAGAAGGCTAAGGCAGCCCTTCGCAAGCTGTTCCCATTAGAAGACAGTTCTTTCAGAGTGTTCAGAAAAGGTAATGCTGGATTCCCATCCTCTGCTTAGGTTAAGGGAGCCCTTTACTTAGTGTTCATTTATGTCCTCAGGAAGTAGATTTGAGACATTTCAATAAAGACTTGTTCTCTAACTGACTTTCAGTACAAACAGGCAGCTGTCTTCCCCCCACCACATTGAAACTTAACTTCAACCGACTATTTCAAATTCTTGCTAATCAAAGATCTGATCTCTACCTTTTAATGTAAACACTGTGAAGGACTGACTTCACTGTAGGCTGTGATGGGAAGAACTCAGCAATAGTTGACTGGTAAACATGTTGAAAGGGCCCCGAGGCTGACAATATTCCTAAGTCACAATCTAAGAAATCATGTCTTTAACACATATAAAGACAGAGAGACAGACACACACGCACACACACTGTTTTTCTTCAGATATTTATCTTTTCCTTTTACATTCAGTCTTGTCTTTCCTACCAAAATCTGTACCACTCTCAACAATATTTATTCAACTAATATTTACAGAGAGTCCAAAGTGTCTATACACTTAAAATGCAGGAATAGTGAAAACAAACAAAAATCTTAGCCCTGGCTGGGTGTGGTAGCCTGTAATTCCAGCATTTTGGGAGTTCAAGGTGGGCAGATCACTTGAGGTCAGGAGTTCAAGATCAGCCTGGCCAACATGGTAAAACCCCGTCTCTACTAAAAATACCAAAATTAGGCCAGGCCAGGGTGCAGTGGCTCATGCCATAATCCTGGAGTTTTGCGAGGCCAAGGTGGGCAGATTGCCTGAGATCAGAAATTTGAGACCAGCCTGGCCAACATGGTGAAACCCCATATCTACTAAAAATACAAAAACATTAGCCAGGCATGGTGGCACACACTGTAATCCCAGCTACTCAGGAGGCCAACGCAGGGGAATCACTTGAACCCAGAAGGTGGAGGTTTCAGTGAGCTGAGATCGCACCACTGCACTCCAGCCTGGGTGACAGAGCAAGACTTGGTCTCAAGAATAAAATTACCCAGGCATGGTGGTGTGCACCTGTAATACCAGGTATTCAGGAGGCAGAGGCAGGAGAATTGCTTGAACCTGAGAGGCAGAGGTTGCAGTGAGCCGAGATCACACCACTACAGTCTAGCCTGGGTGACAAGAGCAAAACTCCACCTTGGAAAAAAACAAAAACAAACAAAAAAACAGAAAAAAATCATAGCCCCTGTGGATCTTCTGGTTAATGTCTCCATCTCCTAGTTCCAGCTGTGGTAAGAATGCATTACTAAGGGCCAGCTGCAAGAGTAGCAAGTGGTTGCAATGTGAGAAATGCTTAAAGGGGTACAGGTAGGACATGCTATCCACAAATAGTGACTACCCATCTTTTAACCATATCATTACTGCTTTATTCTATAGTATCTTGAAAATTGTCTGGTTTTCTAATATTCCTTTGAAGAGTAAAAATATTTCCTGAGAGTAATAACATCTATCTTTATTATCACCTAATGCTCCCTAGTTGATAGCCCATTAAAAGTGATATTGTTGGCACAGATCAGACACCTGGAGAGAGGAGTCAGCCTCAGGGAGGGTATGGCATCAAGAATGAGTAAGGGGTGTTGAGAGGGATGCAGCTGGGCATCGAAGACAAATTTCTCTTACTTCTGAATTTTGTCTGGATTTTGTCTCCAAAAATAAGAGTTTAAAAATGTTTAAACATGACTACATGGTTTACATAGAGTGCCAGGATATTATAGGGTCATTTTTCTTCATTGTTTTCTTTTGCTTCCAGCCCAGTGTAACGACATTGTCTTTGGATTTGGGTCCAAGGATGATGAATATACCCTGCCCTGCAGCAGTGGCTACAGGGGAAACATCACAGGCAGGTGTCAGTCCTCTGGGTGGCAGGTCATCAGGGAGACTTGTGTGCTTCCTCAGCTCGAAGAACTGAAGAAGGTGAGGCATTTTCACTTTGTAGACTTACCTGGATTTGAGTTTCAGAGTGGCGATCTCTCAGTGAGCATGGCAAGGTGGAGGGTAGGTATATCTACATGCATCCTTGGCCAGTATGCAAAAAGCAAGGATGACATTAGTCCCTGGTGACCCTGTGGCAGACTCTGGACAGCAGAGTCTAGGTTGCAGCTCAGACATCAGAGCTGACAATTTTGTAAGGCAGGGGTGTTGTGGAGGCATGTGTCAATGCTAAGGAGGTCTATGATGGATGGTAGAGCAGCAAATAAGCTGGCCTTAGAAGTCCAGAAGACATGGAATTAAAGAGAAAAGCAAAGGTGTGAGTCATAAGCCGGCAGGCTTAGTACAAGTAAGGATATATCTATATCAGAAATTAGGGCAAAGAGTGGGTCAGACAAAGGTGAACCATATAAAATGACTGAATCACAATGGACCTTAAGGAGTATCTGGTTAACAAACCTTATTTTACAGATCAGAAAACAAAAGACCAAGGGGTCAATCATTCCTCTGGTAGCAATAGTCTTGAATTAGAAGCATGGCCGCTTGATTCCCAGTCCAGTGCTGTATTACTCTGTTCTCACATTGTTGTAAAGAACTACCTGAGACTGAGTAGTTTGCACAAAAAAAGAGGTTTGACTTACAGTTATGCAGGATGTCCAGAAGACATATCTGGGGGGGGCCTCAGGAAACTTACAATAATGGTGGAAGGCAAAAGGGATGCAAGCTCATCCTCATATGGTGACAGGAAAGAGAGAGAGAGAGGATGGGGAAAGTGCTAAACACTTTTAAACAACTAGATCTTGTGAGAACTGTATCATGAGACAGCACTTGAGGGATGGTGCTAAGCCATTAAAAACCACCTCCATGATCCAGTCACCTTCCACCAGGCCCCACCTCTAACAAAGGGAATTATAACTTGACCTAAGATTTGGATGGGGAACAGAGCCAAACCATATCAGGTGCTATGCCCTCCACATGATGCTCTCTTAGGAAGTTCCCAGTATTAAGACAAGGTAGATATAAAGAAGGAAATAAATATCTAGGAACCAGAATAACTCAAGTCACTGAAAAGAAGGACCCCAAGACCAGTTCACAGATACTGTTCAGCAAGTAGATCTCCATGTTGAGCAGAACTTCTGTCCCAGCCAGAGACCTTGCTGCTGTAGTAGGAAACCCCAGAATGGTATTCATCAGGGGACTGTGGAATGTTTACTTCTCCCTTTCTGGATCTCGGTTTCCTCATCTGTAAACTGGGGAAGGGGATTGGATTAGCTGGCTTCTGGAGTCTCTTCTTGCTCTTGCCTTCGTTGCCTCAATTCTGGACATGAGCAATAGTTGAGACTCATTTGCTCCAGGCAGATCCCAGGTGCCTTGAACAGAAAACAGCACTGTGAGTTGAGAAGAACAAGAAGGAAAACAGGGGTCACCTGGGCTCTGGGACTGACTTACGTTGAGTGGAAGGGGTCAGTCCTCCTTTGCTGCTTTCCAAGTTAGCCTAGTGTAGTAGAAGCAGATGGGAGTAAAACTCCAAATCTAGGGCTGGGCAGTGGCTCACGCCTGTAATCCCAGCACTTTGGGAGGCCAAGGTAGGCAGATCATGAGGTCAAGCGTTTGAGACAGCCTGCCAACATGGTGAAACCCTGTCACTACTAAGAATACAAAAAAAAAAAATTAGCTGGGCGTGGTGGCATGTGCCTGTAATGCCAGCTACTTGGGAGGCTGAGGCAGGAGAATCACTTGAACCTGAGAGGTGGAGGTTGCAGTGAGCTGAGATCATGCCACTGCACTCCAGCCCCGAGAGCAAGATTCCATCTCAAAACAAAAAACAAACAAACCAACCCAAACTCCCCAAAACTCCAAATCTAGTGACAAAATGGTCCTGGCACAAGTCCAGTGGTCAAATCTCCATGTCTGTTCTCTATCTTCCCACCTTACAAGGAATTCTCGGTGAGCATGGTGAATATAACACAGGATTAGTACCAATAGAGCTATCCTAACATTTCTCGCTGACTGCTCTTTGGAAGGTCATTAAATCTCATTGAACATGAGTTTCAGTATAATTAGAATAATAATTTATACAAAAATATTTTTTAGTACATCTTTTCAAGTTTCGGTTTCCTTAGCTACAAAATGAAAATGATAATAGTACTTCTCTCAAAGGATGTTGAAATAATCCAATCAATGAATCCCTGGTAAAGCATTTAGTACAATGTCTAAAATATAGAAATCACTGAATAACAGCCATTACATAATTATCCTATATTAGAACATGCCATACAAATGTTAGTTCTATGTGGCCAAGACATCTGATCTAAATTTGATGAAAAATGGCATGTCATTTTTTTCTAGAACTTAACCATTTTTCTTTCTAGAATTTCAGTATGATCGTAGGCAATGCCACTGAGGCAGCTGTGTCATCCTTGGTGCGAAATCTTTCTGTCATCATTCAGCAAAGCCCATCATCCACAGTGGGAAATCTGGCTTTGGCGGTGTCGATTCTGGGCAATATTTCATCTCTGTCACTGGCCAGCCATTTCAAGGTGTCCAATTCAACAATGGAGGTATGGTCTGCCAATGCTTAAGGACTCACTTTAAATGCTTGATCTTGTAGGAAGAATGACAAAAGCCTTAAAGATGGGGAACTGCTGGAAAAGACAGAAAGCCATGTAACAGTCCTTATATGAACTCTACTGCCTTCACTGCAGTATACAGGGAACTCATGGGATCAATAGTGTGAGTTCAAAGGAAGAAAGAGCTGCCCTTATGCAGGTTGCCTGGGCAGCACCTGGCTTAGAGGAGGGGATGAGCTGTTGCGCTACGTGACGCAGGCACCGACTTTGCAACATGTTTGTAGTCTATAATTTTTCTTTCCTGTGGCCACAAGTTCAGACTTGAACAGTGTATATTTTAAGAACACCCTAGCAGGGTGCGGTGGCTTCTGCCTGTAATCCCAGCACTTTGGGAGGCTGAGGTGGGCGGATCACCTGAGGTCAGAGGTTCGAGACCATCCTGGCCAACATGAAGACATCCCGTCTCTACTAAAAATCCAAAAAATTAGCCAGGCATTGTGGCTGTCAACTGTAATCCCAGCTACTCAGGAGGCTGAGGCAGGAGAATCACTTGAACCAGGGAGTGGGAGGTTGTAGTGAGCCGAGATCGTGTCACTGCACTCCAGCCTGGGTGACAGAGTGGGACTCTGTCTCAAAAACAAAACAACAACAACAACAAAATAAAACCCCTTTGTAACACTTTCTCTCAACTGAGGAATTTATGGTTTAGTTTGTATATTTAAAGATTAACTTAAAAATTACATAAATGATACTTGGTCACTGTAAAAATGCTAATAAGCAAAAAGAAAAATAAATAATCTGTAGCCTGGTCACTTTAAAATAGACACTGCTTACATTTCAGGTATTGCCTCAGTACCTAGAAGAATGAAAGTGATAAGTAGCATATGCTCAATAAGCATTTGTTCAATAAATATCCTTCCAAACATTTTGGGGGTAGATCATTTATATATTAAAGGATATAATATTTTACAAAATTGGATTATATAATGTATGTTAAATAAGCACACAATAATACTTAACTATATATGATGAAAATTGTTTCAGAAGTGACACTAAATATCAATAGGTTAAACTCCCTGAGTTAAAGAAAAGATACTCCAATTTGTTTTTTTAGAAACCTGACCACATATTGCTTACAAAAGACCAACAAAAATAAAATGACACAAAAAGGCTAAAAATAACATAATGGGTGAAAACAAAGCAGGCAAACACAAAGCAAAAGAAGACAGAGGATTCTAGGGACAGTAGAAGTAGAACATCATGGGATTCTGGGGTTAGAAGGCAGAGAGGGTTGGGTCAGGGTAAGACTCAGTTGGAGTGACAGATGCTGACAGCAGAATGTCTGGGAGCCAGACCCATAAGCAAAAGAAGGGGTTCTGTGGGAAGAAGTAACAACTTTCAAGGAGTTGCTTGGAAAAGGAATCTCTCAAGCTATGACTGACCCTTAAAGCCATGGCCAATTCAATGCCTGGGTCCAGGCTTCAAAGTTCTTTTTTTTTTTTTTGCTTTATATAGTAGGAAACAAGAAATGTAAATACTTTAGTAAACAAGAAACCTAAAACTTTGAGCAACTCTTATGTGAATTTTGAACTTCTGATGCTAGCAAAATAAACATAATATGGGAAAGCAGTACAAAGTAGTGTTTGCATCTTTGAGCCTCAGCCTGAATAGCAGTGCAGACATTTTTGCCATCTCAGGGAAGAGGAAATGCACATGTGCAGCCCAAATTGCAGGATGCTTTCTCATTTGTTCTGAAGTCCTAGTGTGCTTACACGTGCTCTAGGGTGATCACCCTGGGACTTACTTGATTCTACTGACCCAAGATTTTTGCCCAAACCTTCTACTGTACAGAGGAACTGAGCCAAATTTAATTGATGAGTTTTAATTTGGTTCATGACTGAGCCAATTCTCTGGGCATTTTTCCTATACTTAATGCTAATGACTATCCACTCCTGGTCCTCTTATCTGTTTACTAAAAACACAAACTGACTTTCCTCCTTGTATTTCAGGATGTCATCAACATAGCTGACCATATCCTTAGCTCAGCCTCAGTAACCAGCTGGACAGTCTTACTGCAGGAAGAAAAGCATGCCAGCTCACGGTTACTAGAGACATTGGAAAACATCAGCGCTCTGGTGCCTCCAACAGCTCTTCCTTTGAATCTTTCTCGGAAATTCATTAACTGGAGAGGGATTCCAGTGACCAAAAGCCAACTCAAAGGGGGTTACAACTATCAGATTGAAATGTTTCCCCCAAATACATCTATTCCCGTCAGAGGCCATGTGTTAATTGGGTCAGACCAATTCCAGAGATCCCATCCAGAAACCATTATCAGCATGGCCTCGTTGACTCTGGGGAACATTCTACCTATTTCTAAAAATGGAAATGCTCAGGTCAATGGACCTGTGATATCCACAGTTATTCAAAACTATTCCATAAATGAAGTTTTCCTGATTTTTTCCAAGATAGAGTCAAACCTGAGCCAGCCTCATTGTGTATTTTGGGATTTCAGTCATTTGCAGTGGAGCGATGCAGGCTGCCATCTAGTGAATGAAACTCCAGACACTGTGATGTGCCGATGTACTCACTTGACCTCCTTCTCCATGTTGATGTCACCTTTTGTCCCCACTACGATCCTCCCCGTTGTGAAATGCATCACCTACGTGGGACTGGGTATCTCCATTGGAAGTCTCATCTTATGCCTGATCATCGAGGCTCTGTTTTGGAAGCAGATTAAAAAAAGCCAAACCTCACACACACGTCATATTTGCATGGTGAATGTAGCCCTGTCCCTGTTGATTGCCGATGTCTGGTTTATTGTTGGTGACACAGTGGGCACCACAGTGAACCCTTCTGGAGTCTGCACAGCTGCTGTGTTCTTTACACACTTCTTCTACCTCTCTTTGTTCTTCTGGATGCTCATGCTTGGTATCCTGCTGGCTTATCGGATCATCCTCGTGTTCCATCACATGGCCCGGCCTTTGATGATGGCTGTCGGATTCTGCCTGGGGTATGGGTGCCCTCTCATTATATCTGTCATCACCATTGCCGTCACACAACCTCGCAATACCTACCAAAGGAAAGATGTGTGTTGGCTTAACTGGTCCAGAGGAAGCAAACCACTCCTGGCTTTTGTTATCCCTGCACTGGCTATTGTGGCTGTGAACTTCCTTGTGGTGCTGCTAGTTCTCATAAAGCTCTGGAGGCCAGCTGTTGGGGAGAGACTGAGTCAGGATGACAAGACCACCATCGTCCGCATGGGGAAAAGCCTCCTCATTCTGACTCCTCTGCTAGGGCTCACCTGGGGCTTTGGAATAGGAACAATAGTGGACAGCCAGAATCCGGCTTGGCATGTTATTTTTGCTTTACTCAATGCATTCCAGGTGAGAATAATAACAATAACCTATTTTATTGTCAGGTAATTGGAATAAGTAGAGAACTCAGGTTGTAAAGACACTCCGGAGATTATCTCATCTCCCTGCCTCCAGCAAGACCATCACAAAACTGATGGAAAGAATGAATAGAAAAAAATATTTTTCTTACTTAGTTACTGTCATACTGAAGCAGAATATGGGATTTCCTCAGTAACCCATTACAGGGCTTTAAATCTATTAGAGTTCTTACAGCAAACAATCCCTCTTGCTGCTGAGTCAGTTCTCTTTCTCTTATACAGACCTCTGGGAAAAAATAAACAGAGAAAGGGAAATACACGATAAGTGCTTGTTGACTCTGAATGGTGCAAAGCAATTTTCTAGGGTTCAATAAGAAGGGGCTAGCAAAGTGCAACCAGTACCCTGTTTTTGTAAATAAAGTTTTATTGGACTACAGCCATGCTTATTCACGTACAGATGGTCTATGGCTGCTTTCATGACAATGGCAGAGTTGAGTAGTTGCAACAGAAACGGTGTAGCCTGCAAAGCCTAAAGTACTTACCACCTGGCTGATGACAGAAAAAGTTTGCTAACCTTTGCTACATAGAATGGGTTTTTACTTGCTACAGTCAGGAAGTGTTCAGAGAGGAGGTGGACAAAGCAATCATTAGGTTTTGATAAATCTGGAAGAGACTTCAATCCCAGTTCAGTGAGGGTTTTGCTGGACCACCTCAGACAATGACTCAGGGAAGTGATCGCTAAACGTTTGAGCTCTGGTGTTAAATAGCTCTGGGCTCAAGTACATCACTTTACAAACTGTGTGACCTCTAGCACATTGCTTAATCTCTCTGTCCCTTAATTCTTTCATCTTTTAAATAGAGATAATAATGCTTATATCTTTGAATAAATGTGAGGGTTAAATGAGATAATTTAGCACCTGTCATATTGTCTGGCAATTTTCATATAACAAATGCTCAATAGGTGTTTCCCAAAAGTACCAGTGTACAATATTCAGCAACCAGTGAACAGTCAGGTGCTAGTATGGATGGCAATCATAGAGCATGCCCCCTAGCGGTGACAAGTTTAGGAAGCTCCTGTTGGGGAGCAGGAGTACAGTCTCACCGTGATACACTGAATACGCACCAACCAAAGGCGCTATGCCTGGGAGGAGGATTCAAGGTGCACCAAAACATTTACCAAGGGTTCCCAAAGACCTGCACTGGAAGGAAAGGCTGCTGCTATAGGTCAAATCCCTCAACTGGGCCATATGATTGGATCTCTGTGCCTGCCGCCATCATAGTTGCTTAGTTGACATTAAATGTCTGGTCTAAAGAAAGACTAAGATACAGACACAATAGAATGCTATTTGTTTTGGGTTGGGATGGTACAACAGGGGAGAATGAAGCTCCACATGCAAAACTTCATTCACTTGGTCATTTGCTTATTTATACATCAACACAAAAAAATTTTTTGAGTACTTTGCATTGTGCCATGCACTTGTGGAGACCACACAGTGTTCTTGCTTTCAAGGAGCTCACAGTCTCTTAGGGAGACAGGCAAGAAAACAGTTTCAATGTGGGGTGATTGAATAGTGTTACATATAAATGCTTTCTTTTCTGGAAAAGAAAATAAAATATATGTAATTTATTCCTTTTTTTAAAAGGGATTTTTTATCTTATGCTTTGGAATACTCTTGGATAGTAAGGTATGTACATTTATTTCTCTCTTTAATCCCCATCCCAGACATCTTAAGGCTCATTCCCTTTGTTCTGAGGACTTTATTCATGTAATAAGAGATTGCACTGTGGGTACTTTTGTAATAAAATTCTGTGCTTTTAGAGAAGTCAGGCTCAGTCAGAAGACAAAGGAACTAAACAGTCACTGTTGATAAAACTATACAGAACTAATCAAACACATGATGTAAACGTTGTCAGAAAAAAAGAGCAATTCTTTTTACCTTTAACTTTTCCAATTTAAATTATGGTATGGCAGTAATTCCATAGCAAAATTACTTTCCTAAGAGGTGAATTCTCTTTTATTCTTTTAATTAGTCTGCCCATTTATTTAGAATATGCTGAAAGAGATAACAACGTCTGTATTTGCAGAGTTTTAAACAGTAAATATTAAATAGCCTCTCACAGACTTTTATTACTCTGTTTTTTTTTTTTTTTTTTTTTGAGATGGTGTCTTGCTCTGTCACCAGGCCAGAGTGCAGTGGCGCAATCTTGGCTTACTGCAATCTCCACCTCCTTGGTTCAAACGATTCTTCCCCCTCAGCCTCACGAGTAGCTGGGACCACAGGCGCATACCACCACGCCTGGCTAATTTTTTCTTGTATTTTTAGTAAAGATGGGGTTTCACCGTGTTGGCTAGAATGGTCTCGATCTCTTGACCTTGTGATCTGCCTGCCTTGGCCTCCCAAAGTGCTGGGATTACAGGCGTGAGCCACCGCACCCGGCCCAGACTATTATTCTAACTGAAGTAACTCAGGAATGGAAAACCAAACATCATGTATTTTCACTTATAAGTGGGAGCTAAGCTTTGAGGATGTAAAGACATAAATATGAGACACTTGGGGACTCAGTGGGAAAGGGTGGGAAAGGGGTGAGGAATAAAAGACTACAGATTGGGTGCAGTATATACTGCTCAGGTGATGGCTGCATCAAAATCTCACAAATTACACTAAAGAAATTACTCATGTAACCAAATACCACCTGTTCCTCAATAACCTATGGAAATAAAAAAATTAAAAAAATAAGGTATATTGTGGAAGAAAAGCAAATAAATAGCCTCTCACATTAAATAAAATTCCCAGTGAAGAAAAATAAGCTTAAGTAAAAGATAATAGAAAAAAAAAATTTAAATGCTTATTTTGTAAACCCAAACATTAAACAATTCTCTTGGGTGGGGTGAAGGCAGTAAGCTAATAGACATACAGTCTTTGTTTTGATAAGAAAATAAAGATATTTTATTATTAGCAGAATTGTTGCTAACTACAGGAACAATTCTGCACATGAACAAACCCCTATCTACAAAGAAGCAATTTGCTCTTCTTAATTGTTTTAAATAATTAATTTAAAACATTCATGTGGTTAGGTAACCCTTCACTTCAAAGATATACCTCAGTTTAATAGTTACTGCCAGTTACTCATGTCTAAAATCTGAATGAGTATGACATTTGGTACTGTCATTCTTTGTTTAATTCTAGTTTTTTTTATGGGTAAAGAGACAAAGAAAGTAATCTTTCTGCCAGATACCCATTCATGGTCTACTAAATGCTTCTAAGGAATAATACTATTAAATAACCATTTCAACCTGCTGTCGTTCTTGTCTGTGTATGATTGTATGTGTATCTCCTCAATAGTTATTTGTTGCCTTTACAGCTGCGACAACTTCTGTTCAACAAGTTGTCTGCCTTAAGTTCTTGGAAGCAAACAGCAAAGGTAATTATCTCCTACTGTCATGAATCCAATGCATGAAGTTCCAGTTTTGCATTTTTCTTTTTATACAGTCTTGCTGCAAGCCAACTTCTGTGTAAACCCCTTGAATTTCTTTTACCATTGCATTCCTGGTATTTGACACGCAGCCTGACACATGTAAAGAGTTGTTGAGTGAATGAGTGATTAAATGAATGACTGTGAAGTCACTGCAACTTACAAGGATGCTCAAGCATGGAGGTCTGTGGGCGCTTGTGTGTGAATACCTTTGAACAAAGGCATTTGCTTTAGGCTGACTTATTTGTTAGCATTTAGAGGCAAGGCCCTTTTCTTCATCTGACTTGCTGAACCTTCTGTCAACCAGTTTTCCTTCTCTAGAAAGGTAAAGGGGGACATCTTGGTTAAATTCTTGTCTTTAAATTTGGTTAACTTCTAATATATAAAATTATTATGGGCTAATGATTTTCCTTTTTAAGCTAGTATCACTGACTCTGTTCCTTGCAATCTTAGCTCTTAAGTCACAAAAATGACAAGTCTTTAAGGAAATGGAGGATTTCTGTCTTATTCTTTGCCATAAAAGTATAATCCATATGAGGCTGGTGTATTTAGAAACAAAAGTACTTGAACACATATTTTGTGTTTTCAATGTTATTTCGACTTTTGTTTTTCAGTAACTCACTGAAGGCCTTTCAGAAAGAGTTCTAAGGCAGAGGATTTCTGTATTTTATAAAAGTCAACTGGCTTAACTGCATCCAAACCTATATGGGTGTTTAGAGATTTTTACAAGTGATAATATAGCCTTTTGAAATAAAAATCAATAAGGAAACGATCCTCTGGCATTAAAAAATCTTCCTTGGTCTGCATTTTATAGCAGACAGCACTGCTGTGAATTAGGGAGCGCTGGCCCATAAGTGAGTGAACCAGACCTGTCCTTATATTTCTGACTCTGTAACCAGTTGGCTTTGTGATCTTAGGAAGGTCACTTCCTCTCTAAGTTTCGATTTTCTCAACTGTAGAAATTAAATGTTGGACTCATTATTCAAAGCAGAAGTTCTCACATTCTGGGATTTAGATTTTATGTCCGGAAGAACTAAAAATCCCTCAAACCAGAAGTTGTGAAACTAATCAGTCACTATCTACACTTAAGAAAAGGAGAAAACTATAGCACCTGTGACTGTATCAAAGAAAAACCTTTAGTGAATATGATGAGATAGGACACTCCCCACCCTGCAAAGCAAACATTTTTCTCTTTTGAAAACCAAAAAAAGAAAAATACCCCCAAGTAAAATAAAACAAAAGCAAAAGCAAGAATGCCTGATGGTTTCTCTCCGTTTCTAACATCAAGTGCTGACACTTCTCAGAAGGCAGCACTGGTCAGTGAGGGCTTTGCTGTGTCTGTATCTGTACCTTCTCCTGAATTTCATTTCCAGATTAGGTGATAAAAATGAGATTTTGTTTCTGGTTAGGTGGTTCATTTGCTTTAAAATAAATACACATTTTTTTCCAGAAGAAAAGATGTGCATTTATAATTTTCTTACAGAGTTTGAATGAAAGAGCAGGACCCCAAGGACCCCAGATGACAGATGATGAGCAGGTGAGAGAGAGATAACACTTGATGGATATTCCTGCCAAGAAACTCGCTTTTGAGCAAAATCAGTGAGGGTGGTAACCAGATGTAGACCCAGGACAGTAGTGACAGGCTAGAGTTGAAGTTGCCAGGATGTGACAAGTTCATATGTTGGGAGGGATGATCCAGAGAAGAGAGAGTCTGAAAACAAATGAGAGAGAGAGGATAATGGGCAGAAGATGACTCCTGGGAAGACAGAGGGAGTGGCTAGATTGAAGATGGAGGGATTAGCTCCTTAGCTTGGCACAGGAAGTACCACACTGATGCAGGAGGAACGATGTGGAGAGATTGGGGTTGTAAATGAAAAAGTATCTGAGACAGGTCTCAATCAATTTAGAAGTTTATTTGCCAAGCTTTAGGATCACAAGCCATGACAGAGCCTCAGGTGGTCCTGAGAATGTGTACCCAAGATGGTTGGATTACAGCTTGAATGTACACATTTTAGGGAGACATAAGACATCAGTCAGTACATGTGAGGTACGTATTGATTTGGTCTGAAAAGATGGGACAACTCCAAGTGGGGGCAAGAGGGCTTCTAGGTCATAGGTGGATTCAAAGATTTTCTCATTGGCAATTGGTTGAAAGAGTTAAGTTATTATCTAAAGACCTGGAATCAACAGAAAGGAGATCCTGTGTTAAGCTGAGGGATTGTGTAGACCAAAGTTCTTGTTACGTAGATGAAGTCTTATAGGTAGGTACCCTTTGATGCAAGAGATGTTTTCTATTCAGACCTTTTAAAGGATGATCGACCTTCAGCTCATCTCTCCAGGATCAGAAAAAGATCTGGAAAGGGAAGGGAATGTTCTTCAGAATATCAATTTCTCCCACAAGAGACAGCTTTATGGGGCCATTTCAAAATATGTCAAATAAATATATTTCGCAGTAAAAGATTTTGACTTATGTCAGGGTCTACTATCTGTTGTATGATGCTATGCTAGAGTTTGGATGGAATTTGGTATCTTATTGCTACACAGTCTGTTCAATCAGTCTTAAGATCTCAGTTTTGTGCCTGAGCTCCAAAGGGAGGAGAGTATAATGAAACATGTCTGACCCCTGCTTCCCATCATGACCTCAACTAGTTTTTCAGGTTTCTTTGAAATCTCCTTGGCTGAGAGGGGGATGCATTCAGTTGGTTGTGGGGCTTAGAATTTTCTTTTTGGTTTATAGGGTCATGATGTTGAGAGTTCGAACCTTGATGCTTTTTTGTTTTTTTAAGTAGGGGACAAGGCTATACACTGAGAGATAGCTAAAGGAGGGATAAAATAGGGATCTTGAACAGAGCAGTGAGACTATGACAGCTGGCTGAAGGGAATGAAAGAGGAGCCAGCAACAGTCTCAGCAAGGACCATCCTTCAAGCCACAGCACATTGTGTGGACCCCAAAGCCTCTCCATGCTCAGGCCCCTGTCTTGACCCTCCATTGTCCCTATCCATGTTTTCTGTAACTCTTTTCCAAGACACAGACTCTGGTGGCCTCGACAGACCCCCCACTCCACAAAGAATAGATTTACAGACCTACATCTGAGTTCTAGTAACTCAGGGTCTATTACTTGGCCAACTGCTTAGACCCATTTAACTTCACACACTGGAGGAGGTTACTTCTTCCCAGACCACAGGGAAGTGTGTTGAGTATGTTACAACCTGGGATTTCTGTCTCCAAATGGTACAGGACACAGTTTTAAGTGCCATGATGACTGACCTTTTAGGGTTATATCATTATATGATTAATTATTTTGCTTTGAAAGTTTCAAATTTTTTTTATTCTTATTTTTGTAACTTTTTTTCCCAGAGCTCAGTATGCCTTAATACCAGTGAAAATTGAGAGCCATCACTGGTCTACCTACTGCATATAATAAGAACCCGTTTCTCTCACCTTGATTTGGTTTATTTGTGGCGTACACTGTAGCAGGGAATGGAACTTATTCCTTCCAATATTCCCAGTGCCTAGAACAGTATCTGGCACACAAAGGCATTCAATATAAGCTGGTAAATTATGAACAAATGAGTGATGAACTAATGAATGGAAAAATATATAATGTATGTAAACACTTTTATCTTTCCCAATAAGTACATACTTTTTGCTTAAAATATCTTATTTAATTTGATGATTCAGCTTTTAAATTATTAAACTCTATATAGCCTCTGTAGCAGTGATCAAAGTGTCATTCACAAAGAGGTTTGAGAGCTAAGATGAGCAAAGGTAAAGCAAAGCTTCATTGGGAACCTTTTTTAGTAGGAACACTATTTTCCTCCTTTTTCCTCCAATGGGTTTCTCTTCTAGTAGCAAATGTGAACCAGAGAAATGTAAGCATAGACATGAAAAGGGATAATGGTGCCTTTAAAATTGTTTTCTAATTTGTTGTTAGAAGCTGTAAAAATATACAGGAACATAAAATTCAGTTGGAAATAAATTTTTAGGCATTTTAAATAGATTAAAATAGAAGAAAGAGTGAGAAAGTAGCCACTCTAAATTCTTGAAAAAAGAATAACACCTATGAAAATGGAATAAAGAATTGCTGATGACATCGGGAAGTCAGGAAATGCAGACCAACAATAAAAGAATACCGCTCATGTCCAAATGATGCATTTTTCTTTTGTGCAGCAAAACTCATCAGATTTATCTGCCAAACTCAAATTCTCAAAGCCTTTCAACCCATTGCAAAACAAAGGTGAGTTACGATAAAACCAAAAGTTCTGAAAAATGTGAAAAGAGAATGTAAGTATATCACATGAAGAAAAGACAATGGCAACATCTAAGAAACTCACGTGAGAAGTGTGGGATTATCAGCCAGCCATGTGTTCAGACTTCATCCAGACTGCGCTCAGCACTGACCAAACAACGTAGGCGACGTGGTGCTCATGGAGAACCAGAGTTTTTTAAATGTAATTTCATCACGAATTATCTCTATTTCCCCAGTTAGATGTTATGTAAACCTGTGGCATTGATCATTGAGGCCATGAGGGGAAGAAGTGTGCTGAGACTAACACCAAATAAACATTTCTCTTTCAAAGTTTCCAGTTGAATTTTATGTTTGCTTTTGCTTTTTAAGTTTCATCACTTAACATTGAAATTTAATCAGAAATAAAATAAAACCTTCCATTTCAGATAGCTTTGTACCAATCTCAGAAAGGATAATAATGTGTCCTTACTGGAGAATCACCCGTTTTGTGCCAGCTGCTGAGCAGGGGGCATGCAGCCAGGTGCTTGTGCCCTGATGTTGCACATGTCCTCCTCCCTAAAATGCCCCTGGGCAGGAAGGGGCCACACCTGCTAAGAGTGAAAGAGCACTGTCTCCTCCACCTGTGACATGCATTGGCCCTGTGTTCATTGACTGGCGGTTACTAAAGTCTATGCTACTCAGCAGCTGCAAGACCAGTATTTAAGCATTGCAAATAGTCACAGTATTCTTGGAGAAGAGAGGAGGATGGAGCATGGAAGTAGAGGAGGAGACATTGCCTTACAAGTTAAGTTGAAGTCATATGTAAGATCAAGTCCCATTTCACATTCAGTTATGTTAATGCCATAGTTAATGTAGGAAAATGGAAAACTCATTTCATATTCCCATTAAAATTATTTAAATTCCGGATAAAGTTCAAGTGTCTGGAGAATGTGCTCATCCAGGACTCTTGGGTTCCATTGTCATTGTCACCAGTCAGCTTGAGTGCTTTTTATATGTCTCTATGTTTGGGGGGCCTTTGTTCCTCACATATAAAAAAAAAGCTAGGCGATGACTAAGATTCTTCCACCAATAACATACTGTGATCTCAATCTACTTTGTGTCATTTCCCAGCAATAGTTGAAAAACATGGCACTTCTTAGATAAGAGATACTTGACAAATGCAAGCTTCTAGGGTGTCAGTGAAATGCTATTCCTCTCCACCAACATTTTTTTGTCTTTCCCTAAACAAACTTCTAAAACTGCTCCTAGTTGTAAAAAAAAAAAAAAAAAAAAAAAAAATCCACATGCTAATTTTCATTTTGGTCTCATGCTTGGTTCCAACAGAGTAGCAATAATTATTATCATTTTTTTCCTCTTCAGGCCACTATGCATTTACTCATACTGGAGAGTCTTCCAATGACATCATGCTAACTCAGTTTTTCTCAACTGAATAAGCAAGGAACCATAAAATCAAGAAAAACATTTCAAAACAACTTGACATTTAGAGATAAATGCCAATGAAGAAATTATGCTCAGTATTAGATTGGATTTTCTGATTTAGGAGTCCGGGAATAAAACAAGAATGTCTCAGTGGCTTAATTACTGTTCCCTTTTGTCTTCAATTAAATGAAAAGAAGATTTATTTCCATGTGATTTGATTCAAAGAAAGTGCTCCATAAATGCAGAAGAGTAGGTTTTGTTGGAAATTGTGTCAGTTGTACCTTGACCACAAAATATGGTTTCTATTTCATAAAACAGCATTATTCACTTGGCATCTCCAATCATCTGGATTGGAGTAAGAAAATGTTATGAAACAGCTTTAGATAAATTAATAGGCCATGCTCATTTTCTTGTTAAAAGGTTATTTGTGGGGGGAGATGGGAAAAAGTTATTAGTGCAAATTTTCAAGAGATAAAAACATTTCTCTTTCAAATTTTCCAGTTGAATTCTATGTTTGCTTTTGCTTTTTAGGTTTCATCACTTAACATTCAAAGTTGATCAGAAATAAAATAAAAACTTCCATTTCAGATAGCTTTGTAACAATATCAGAAAGTATAATAACGTGACGATATGTAATGTGGCATTTTTCAGTTTACAAGTCACTTTCATGTGGTCCCCAGCCCTGCAAAGTGCAGTGTCAAGGCAGACCTAGTGTAGAGATGAGGGTATTGGGGCTCAGAGAGATAAAGTGACTTGCTGAAGATTTTGAAGTCAGTTAAGGAGAATTGGGGATTTTTAGGACTTTTGTCTTCCAGACCATTTCTATAGCCCATAAAAGCCTTGACAATTACCTACAGCCCAATAAATCTTTATGAAGTCAGTTATACAGTTCACTATTCCTAGAATTCTATGTAATAGAGAAATTAAGGGAGATTTTGACTGTGAGCTTCCAGAGAGATTCCCTGAAACATCCTTATTTTCTTTCTTTCTTTCTTTTTTTGAGACAGAGTTTCACTCTTGTTACCCAGGCTGGAGTGCTATGGCACGATCTCGGCTCACTGCAAACTCTGCCTCCTGGGTTCAGGCAATTCTCCTGCCTCAGCCTCCTGTGTAGCTGGGATTACAGGCATGCGCCACCGTGTCTCTTAGCCTCCTGACATGGAAAGGCTCTGCAAGTAAAGACAGCTGGGGGAATTTCTAGTTAATGGTGGTGGATTAAATAAGAATGCTAAACAGAAATTCAAAGTTAGATTTCCACAAGGCACCAAGGTGCAGCACACATGAAATATGAAAGTGAGATGTTCAAAGGGAATGACTGAAGACCAGTCACATGGTTCTATACCCCACAAATATAAATGAAAGTCAACATAGAATTTTATGAGAAAGATTTCCTTGTAGAAAACTGCTCTATGAGCCTTCTCTCTCTACCCCCAAAAGTGAGAGGAGGAGGAATGTCTGCTCCTTGACCTCAAATATAGTGAGAGAGGATTTTTCAGGTAGCTTCCTATGGAACCACAACAACTAGAGGGCATGGCTGATGGAAGTCTGATTCTTGCCTAGAATTGTGGCCGCAGCTCTGGGAGTAGAGCCCTGAATGGGTTCTGTGTTGAGACTAGCCTGCAAGTCTAATGTTTGTCAGGGCAATGGATGTGTGTGTTTCCCATGAACCATGGTGAAACATGCAAGAGTGAAGGTCAGCATGGGGCTCTTTTAGGACGTGACTGATAGGGTTGTCCAAAGAGATGGAGGGAACCCAGCATCAAGAAGTGGGAAGTGAAGCCAGATTGTGGGATGAGGAAGGAGTCACAAATAACCACCAGGAATACAAAAGAATTTGCACAGGCTAAAGGTGAGAAGTCAAGGCTATGAGAATTTCCATGGGAGTTCTTAAATGCTCCCCCCTCTCATTATACACAATTACTCTCCACAGAACCCTGACACCATGTGAAGGCTTCCCTATCTCATAAGATACATTTATTTTTCTGGGACCTTGGTGAAGGGGAGGCCAGAAACATCAGTGCCCAAAGTGGGGTGGAAGGAGAGGTAGAAAAACTTAGCAAAAATGTCAACCAGCAAAGGGAGATGTTCTAGTGCAAGTAGGGAACCCAACACAAGACTCAGTTGGGGAGGGAAAAAAATCTAGTACTAAATTATTGTACTTTCTTCTTATTATTGAGGACTAGGCATCATAATTACAAAACTATTTAAAATGACCAAAATGTTGCTATTACTTGAGTATGTTGGAGTATAACTGGACTGTATGTGATGGAAGGAAAATCTTCTTCCACTGAATAAATTTTATGAGGATGATGAGAAACAAAAAAAGTATGTTTGATCAAATATCATGTACGTGCATGCTTATCTAATTCACTGATTACAGATATATTCACCTCAAAATGCTACTAAAACAACAATAAAACCATCAAAAAAGTGAATGGCATTGTAATACTTTTCTATTGCTGTGTTTTCTATTATAGCAGTTTATTCCATTTCTATTATAGTAGTTTTCTATTGCTGCATGTAAAATTGCCACAAACTCAGCAGCTTAAAGCAACACACATTTATTGTGTCAAAGTGGTTGTAGGCAGATTCCATGCACAGCTAAGCTTGTCCTTTGCTCGGGGTTACACAAAGCTATCATCAAGGTGCTGGCTGGGCTGTCATGTCATGTGGAGGCTCAGGTGGGGAAGAATTCACTTCCAACTTATTCGAGTTGTTGGTAAAATTTGTTCTCTTGTGGTTGTGGGAATGAGAATGGCGGCTTTTTGCTGACTACTGGCTAGAGTCCATCTCAGACCCTAGAGGCCACATACATTTTTTTGCCACATGGGCTTCTCCAGCTGGCCACTTGCAACATTAAGCCTGCAAGGAGAGTCTCTGACTCCAGTCTGCTTTTAAGACAGAGTCTTGTATAATGTAAGATAATTAGGAGTGACAACTCATAACTTTTGCCGTATTTCACAGGTTAGAAGCAAGTTATAGGTCCTGTCCACAGTTGAGGGGAGGGCATTTCAAAAGGTGTGAACACCAGGAGGGAGGGATCACTGGAGGTTATGGACATGAAATTCCAAAGATAGGGAGTGAGAGAGGAGATAATGCAACACAACTTTGGAAAGCAGGTGGGGTGGTGTTAACTGATTTGGAAGACCTAAAAAAGTTAAATTTTAAGCCAGTAGTGAGGAAAAACAAGAAGCAACCTACTTTACACTGCAGAATCCCCACAAAGACTCAACACTTTGCAGCACCAGGTACCTCAAGAAGGGATAAATATGGGACTGAATAGTAAAGTTGGTTCAACTTCAATTTAGGAAGCAGCTGGGCCCCCAGGTACCTCTCTAATCCCAAGTAGCCAAGCAAATGTCCTTTCCTCCACCCTACTAATAGATTATATGTAGATGTGGGACAAGGTGGGATATTGGAACTGAGAGACATCAGAATCAGATGGGAGAAGTTTTCCCACACTGAAAACAAAAGGTTTAGTGAAAGTTAACATATAACACTGGCAGCAAGCCTTACGTTTTTAAGGCAAGTGTCCTGTATTAGTCCATTCTCATGCTGTTGATAAACACATACCTAAGACTGGGTAATTTATTTAAATAAAAAGTTTTAATGGGCTCACAGTTTCATATGACTTGGAAGTCCTCACAATCATTTTGGAAGATAAAAGAGGAGTAAAGGAACTTCTTACATGGCAGTGGGCAAGAGAGGGAATGAAAATGAAGTGAAAGAGGGTTCCCCTTGTAAAACCATCAGGTCTCATTAGACCCATTCATTACCATGAGAACAGTATGGAGGAAACTGCCCCCATCATTCAGTTATTTCCCACTGGGTTCCTCCCACAACATGTGGGAATTATGGGAGCTGCAATTTAGATGAGATTTGGGTGGGGACACAGCCAAACCATGTCAAGTCTGAGCAGGCATCTCTGGAGAATCTGATTATAACAGGAGGAAACACTGAAGATACTGACTTTGAATATTTGATAAGAAATTGTTTTTCCAGATAATCACCCTACAGGAAGGCCAAGAGTCATCATACCTCACCTCATACACAGACCATCCAACCATCAAATCAGCTTTTTAGTGTCTCAGTCTGAAATAGAAGCAAACAGTCTAGGATCATTAGGTACTCTACAAAATCTTCCAGTATTAAATGCAGAGGCCAAAATGAAAATAAAAGGCAGAGAGAGGCAATGTGGTCTCACTTGAGTCCTGTGGTATCAGCTCACCTAGAACAATGAAGAAACAGAGAAATACAAATTAGGATAAAAAAACCATACTAGAAGACGAGACTTAAGAGACAACCAATTTTATCCTCAAGTAGGATATTGCCTCTATATAAATAGAGTGTTATAACAAGGAATACACAGACAACAAAAAGCTATCTTTGAAATTTAAAATATCATAAATAAAATGCTTCAATAGAAGGATTGGAAAATAAAGTTGAGGAAACAATCCAGAAAGTAGTATTAAATAAAAATAGAAGTAAATTAGAAAAGAGATTAGAAGACAAGGCCAAGAGTTTCAAAATTTGAGTAGATTTCGCAGAAAAAAAGAGGAAGGAAGCAGAAGGAAGGGCATTAAAGAAATAAATGGAGACAAAATTTTGATCACTAAGAAACATGAGTTTCTCTATTGATATTGTCCATCAAATTCTCGGTAGGATAAATGAAACCTACAGAGTTTCATCCATAGTTAGATACATCATTACAAAATTTCAGATCACAGGAGACAAAAAGCAGATCTGAACACTTTCAGAGAGGAAAAAAACCCAACAGGTTTTATACAAAGTGTCAAACACCAGAATATTATAGAATTCTCTACAGCAATATTATAACCTAGAAAATAATGAGGAATACCTTCAAAATTTTGAGAAGAAATGATTGCAACCTAGAAGGAACTAAATGTGAAGAAGGATAAAGATGTTTTTACGTTGAGGCAGAATTGCCTGAACCCAGGAGGCGGAGGTTGCAGTGAGCCAAGATTGTGCCATTGCACTCCAGCCTGGGTAACAAGAGCGAAACTCCGTCTCAAAAAAAAAGAAAAGCTATTTTTATGTATAGAAGTTTTCAATAGATTTCCTTCCAATGCTTCCTTTCCTCAAAGCTCTTGAGGCATGTGCCATGCAACTAAATGTGAAGAAGGATAAAGATATTTT